GCTCTAGGCCCTGGGTTCTAATCCCCAGCACCACAAAGTCCAGCTCTGGCAACTTAGAGAGACCCTGTCTCAAAAAACAAAAAAACAAAGTTGGGGATATAACTCAGGGTAAAGCATCCTGGGTTCAATCCCCAGTAACAAACAAATAAATAGGTAAATAAAAATAAATCCTCATGAACTACTGAGGTGATTCCATTTCCATTTTATAGAAAAGGAAACAGCATGCCAGCCGCAGTGGTGCACACCTGTGATCCCCGGGACTCGGGAGGCTGAGGCAGGAAGATCCCAAGTTCAAGGGAAACAGCAGCACTTCAAGGTAAAATAACTTGCCCAAGGCCACRCAGTAGAAATCCTGGCCTACTAGACTCTATATTGTCCAATCTGTAAAGGGTTTGCATGCCTCTATCCTCAGAAGGTGACTGTTCCTTGAGGGAAGCAATTATTTTGCCCTTTCATGTGCTTTATCTCAAACCCTAGTGGTGTCTGGCAAGTCCAGAGGCAATGACAATCAATTAAATTCCTTGACTCATCTGTTCACAAATATTTGTGCCTTATCTATGAACAATACTGAGTTTCTGGGGACCAAAACTGTATCATTGTGTGTGTGTGTGTGTGTGTGTGTGTGTGTGTGTGTGGTGCTGGGGATTGAACCCAGGGCCTTGTGAATGCAAGGCAAGCACTCTATCAACTGAGCTATATCCCCAGCCCCAAAACTGTATCATTGTATGTAGTAATAATATAAATGAAGGACAGGGAATTAGAGAAGTGTCTGAAAAAAACCAAATAAGGAAACACGCCATAAGACAATGGAGCACCTTCCAGGATGAAGGAACAGTGGGCACAGCTTGAAGGCCCTGAAGGAGAAATTAGTTTTGTTGGGATTAAAGGAACAGCAAGGCAGCTAGTGTGGCTTGAGCAGATTAAGTGGCAATGAAATTCCAAAGCAGATTCAGCCCAATCCTATTAGATGTTTTGTTGTTGTTGTTCAGTTTTGTTTTTGAGATGGAGTCTGTGTTGTCCAAGCTTGTCTTGAACTTCTGGATTCAAGCGATCCTCCCTCCTCCAACTTCTGAGTACCTGGGACAACAAGCACACCACCGTGCTTAGCTTTTTTTTAATATTTACTTTTTAGTTGTAGTTGGACACAGTACCTTTTTTTTTTTTTTTTTTAAATTGATTCATATGTGGTGCTGAAGATGGAACCCAGGGCCCTGCATGTGCTAGGCAAGCGCTCTACCGCTGAGCCACAACCCCAGCCCCTATTTGAGGGTTTTGAATGGATATGTGATCTGCCATGGGCTGTAGGGAATTGAACACATGTGCATGATGGGTATTGGGCAGTGGTCAGTATCACCAACCTGACAATACTAATTACTCAATTTTGAATAAATGATGGTGATGGGTATGAAATGGGAGATGAGATTAGGAGATGGAGGATGGTCTAAATAAACTCTGCTTTGGACATGTTAATTTTGGTATGCCTTTTAGATATCAGATAGCATTATGGAGTTGGTAGCTGGATAGGAGTTTGTTTGGGAGATTTAATGCATTAGTATAAAGATAACAAGGAGCTGTAGGACTGCAAAGGCCCATTGTCCACTTGGCCACCATTGTGACCACTGATGTTAAGAAGCTCCAGGCTGTGGGTAGGGCTAGTATAGGCATGGATAATACAGATCTTGAAGCTACAACAAGGAAGGTCATCCTGGTCACAAACACCACCAATGGGAACATCCTCAGGGCTGCGGAGCTCACCTGTGGGATGACCATGTGTCTGGCTAGACAGGATCTCCAGGAGAGAGCTACATGAAAGATGGCGAGTGGAAGTGCAAGTTCATGGGAAGATCCTGGGAATTCTTGGCCTCGCTAGGATTGGGAAAGAGGTTACCTGGATGCAGTCCTTCGAGATTATAGGTTCCAACTCTTTGTTTTTGCATAGGTCGGCTCAGCTGCCTCTGGGGACAGGCTTGCTGAACAGCACCTCTGCCCAGCACAAGGGTGTGGTGAGCTGTGCCCATGCTCACAAAGGGATGGTGGACACAGACACCCTTCTCTGGGCCCGCASAGTCTAGCTGGAACTTTGCTACATGTGTTCATGAGGAGCTGCTGTAGGACTGAGCCCTGGTGGATCATCTGTTGCCCTCACCTGGCACCAGCACCAAAGTGGCCCAGAGCCAGGCAGCTCTGCCAGTGGACAGTGAAGGGAACTCTCTAGCAGGGATAGTAAATGCCCAGGCTCTTATAAAACTCTTTCAGCACCTTCTCTCCACTCTCAAAGTCTTGGATTAGTCTGACAGAAGCTCTGCGGACACTGATGTGAGCCTGGCCTGGTTGCTGTAGACTAGCTGGGTGACACAAGAAATCTGGGACTTAAAAACCCAGTCATGGTTGGCCTTCTAAAGAAGCTTCCAAGTAGACAAATGTGAACTTGGTGAATACCAATGAACTTTTTAGGAGGCTGGCTTCAATGCCATCTCCTCCCATAACCTTGCCATACCAGGAGGCCAGCCTATGCGGAGTGTCTCCTATCATGCTGTGGGCTATCGCCGGTAGCCAGAGCACCCTGCTTGTGCTGCAGGTGTTCAGCAGACCAGTGTTCAGGCCCAAAGTGCCTCACGGCTGGGGCTGAGGGTGTCCCTGCTCCTGTTCCTGGCTTAGCCTCCCATCCTGCCATGCTGTGTAACACCACTGGCTTCCTGGCAGAGGCCGGTTTGAGTTTACTGCCCCACCAGACCTCCCTGGAGTCAGATGGAGATGTCATAGCCACTTCCACCCTGCAGCCCAGCCTGCAAGAATGGAGCAACTGTGACCAGGCCTTCCCAGTCCACTTCACCTTGGGGCTCACTGCTTCTGGGGGTTTTCTGAAGAAACTTGCCCATTGGGATCAAAAGGGAGAGGAGATTTACCTTCTTGGGCCGAAAGCATGCCTAACCCTTCTATGCCACCTTCTCCTGGCCCGGTGGTATAGCAATAACCAACCAATAGTCTCCCCACACTCCTAAAAATCAAGAACTAGAGATGAAATTAAGAAAGGCCACCAAGGACAAACAGTAAATTATTTGAAAGGATCCAGTAGAGCTAGGCATGGTGGCACAYACCTACAATCACAGCTACTTGGGAGGTTGAGGCAGAAGGATTAAGTTTGCAAGATCAGCCTGGGGAACTGAGTGAGACCCTGTCTCAAAGAAAAAAAAAACCAAAGGGTTGGGTGGGGCTGAGGATGTAGCTCAGTGGTAGAGCCCTTGCCCAGCCATGTGTGAAGCCCTGGCTTCATCCCAAGTACCGCCCCTCTCAGAAGAATCCATTAGAGACAAAATAGCAGCTAGTGAGATAGGACAACTAGTTCATCAAAAAAGGTGAACCTGTAAGCCAGAGATGCCTCTCAGAACCCAACAGAGATTTAATATATCACTGAACCAAGAGGCTGGGGGCTAATACAACAACTGAGACTGCTCAATTTGGCAAAATGGAAGTTGCTCGAGCTGTCAAGGGGAAGAAGGTAAGCCTAGGGCATAATCAGAACAAGTGGATAAGTGAAGGAAAGACTGAAGAAGATGCAAACACTCCAGTGTTAACTGGTTTGTTCATAGTGGAAAGGGCAAATCAGCAACCACCATTTTAGAAGCTGGCATTTTATGTCTTCTCTCAGTCAGAAAATTACACAATCAAGAGGAAGCCCTGTCCAACAGCCTCAAAAAAGCTCAAACTACTATACATATAAAATTCTATCTTCCACCATGAAGTTGCTGTACTACTTTACCCCATAGGACTTTCATCAAGCAAATCATTTAAACAACCAGCGTAGAAATCTCTCCTCAGTCAGTGGTGAAGGTACATTTACGATCCATGTATTTTAGGTAAAAAAACCACGAAGTTTTCCTGAAACTAAAAATTGTTGGCATTTTCTTCCAATTTTTGCTTCAATTGTCAGAAATTATGATAAAATTAACTACCCAAATGTCAACAGGTTTGGCTTAGGTTCCTGGTGTCAATATTTCCCTACTTCTTTCAATATGCATGTTGCTCTTTTACCTTATGCTATTACCAATTCCAAATTTTTCTCAAAATTATTTTGCTCTGTTAAATATTTTTTTTGGGGAGTGGGTTACTTAGGGCCTCACTAAGTTGCTGAGGCTGGCTGTGAATTTGAGACCCTCCTGCCTCAGCCTCCCAAGTCACTGGGATTACACAAGTATACTACTGTGCCCAGCTTCTCGGCTAAATCTTAAATGCAAAAATGTCTTGTCTGTGGATGGCCAGAGTATGCTCCAGTCATTCCTACACCTCATTCACTCAGGGAACAAGCCAGGATGTCTCAGGGGGTACACCCATGTGTCTGCCTGAAATTCTTCTCTTTGCCTGGTGAACTTGTCTCACCAGCATTTTATGTTCCAACCACACCCTGTATTTTATAGTCTTTATAGTAATCATTAAAATAAAGATGATAAAACCTTTGTTTCATTGCCATTATTTTTCCTGCCCAACTGCTTCCTCGTTAAAAGGGTAAGGAGATTTCTAAGAAAGATTTCTAAGAAAGATAATTTTCTTGCAGTACTGAGACAAGAAAGAGGAAGCGGCAAACATTTTTAAATTTAGAAATTTATTCTGTTTAATCCACGAGCTTTATATAGCTTTAGTTAAAAAAAAAAAAAAAAGAGAGATAGAGAGAGAAACAAAAACAGTGAAACCAAGACACTATTTTCAAAGTCTGGGCCCTTCCAGCCTTCCAAATACAAGAGCTCTGAAAGTTGTATATASCAATTGGAAGAACAAGACAAAAATATGAATGGAGCTGTGACATTTTATAAAACAAAATTTTAGGTTAACTGAAGGATCCTTCCTGGGACTATTTAACTGCCTTTACAAAAGGGGCAGGGGAGGTGAAAAGAGAAAAATCAAAAAGAACAGAGTAGGATGAAATTCCAGTGTTCCCAATCAACTTGTAACATTACTATAAACCCAGTGTCCTGGCGAACAGCATGCGTTCATTTTTCTGCCTCATTCTAGAGCTCGAATCCTGATTCATTTCAGCAAAAGCTCCACAGGCAACAGGAAAGATTGTGGCATTAAAATGTTCACTTATACTTTTGTGGTAGTTCAGCAGTGGTCTTATTTCTGGGAAAGCTTACAAACCATACAAGGTTGGCAGCATAACTTAAATGATGGTAATAGTCAAATGAGAAAAAGTAAAGAAAAAAGAGAGGGGAAAAAAAAAAAAAGAAAAACAAAAACAAAACAAAAAACAAACCTGTGGGAACAGCCAGGAGAGTGTAGAGGAACCATGAGAATGCCAACAATACTTAAACCCCCTTTTTTAAAAAAGGGATTTTTTTTTTGGCTTAAAATATTTCACTCTAAATGAATTTATGTCAGTGGTCAATAGAAGAATGTCACTAATACACTGTGGACACCTTTTGCAATGTAAATCCATGCCCTTTTTTTTAAAACATGGTGAACTTCAACCTAGCAATTATTACAACAAATGTTATAGTCTAAAGCTCAAACACATTTTAGCAATTTTGAAATTGAATTGAGTACAAACCAAATAAAATTTACATCGTAACAAACATTTCCACCTAAGACTGAGGGGACACTTGAGCCTTCCGCATGGACCTCAGGGCTTTTTCTCGCAGGTGCTTTTCTAAGTCATCGAGGTTATCTTCAGCTTCACTTTCAGTCTCCTGAAAATCCAGAAAGTCATACTATTAAGTATTGAAACACGAGGGAGAAACGCTGAGTAAAGAATTACATTGTKATGATGGCTGCACAACTCTGGATATGCTAAACACCATGAGCTATGAACTTTAATTAATGGGCCAGCTGTATGATATATAAATTTTGTTTCAAGTTATTCAGAAAAAAAAACTGCAGTGTGTGTGGCTCAGTGGTAAACTACATGCAGGCCCCAGGTTCAATCCCCAGTATAAAAAGAAAGTTTTTTTTTTTTTTTTTAAAAGAGAGAGAGAGAGAGAGAGAGAGAGAGAGAGGGAGGGAGGAGAGAGAGAATTTTAATATTTATTTTTCAGTTTTCAGCGGACACAATATCTTTGTTTGTATGTGGTGCTGATGATTGAACCTGTGCCGCACGCATGCCAGGCGAGCGCGCTACTGCTTGAGCCACATCCCCAGCCCCCAAAAAGAAAGTATTTTAAAAAATAATAAGTTTTTTTGGTAGCCATTTATGTTCATATTCTTGGCAGGTCACCAAAAATATGAATAACAGCTAGGGAGCCAATTATTAGGGGAAAAAATAAGTTAACTACTTATTTAAAAAAAAATAATAATAATTAAAAAATTGAATGATTTCTTCTCATCTGTCCACAAGGCGGAAGAGTCAGTAGATACCTTCTTGGGCTCCGGTGCTGCCTCGGGTTCCTCCTGTGCTGACGTGGTTGTGGCGGCGGCAATGGCTGCAGGGGTCACAGGCGCAGCAGCAGCTGCGGCCATTGCCTTTTCCTTCTTGTGTTTTTTGTGCTTCTTGTGTTTCTTATCCTTTTTGTGTTTCTTGTCCTTCTTTTTCTTCTTTTTCTTTCCACCTCCTTCTTGATCTGAATTCTAGAAATCCAGAAAAATGACAGCAAGATAATCAATCTAATTAAAAATTGTGTCCACTGAACATTTTATTTCCTCAAGGGAACACCTAAATGGACAATCTCTAAGACTTCAGGGGCCTCACTGTTACAGCAAAGGTGAACTTCACAAATTCTAACAGCAAATGTCCTTGAAGGTAACAGATTCTTACAAATTTTCCCTAACTTTAATTCCAAACTTTAGAATTTAAGGTCTCCAAGACTAGAACGAGTCAGGGGCTAACTACAGTTGAGTTCATTTCCAGCTCCTGAACTTGAAGATTAAATAGGAATGTCAGGGGACTAGAAATGTGGCTCAGTGGTAGAGCAATTGCCTAGCATCCACGAGGCTGTGGGTTTGATCCATACGACTACAGAAAGAAGACAGAAATAAGAAATATCTGTAAATTAACCACAACCCTTGCCTAAGATGTAGCAGGTTTTTAATAAATGGACAGCTATAGACTATTAACACATCCGTATGAAATGTCATTATCTCTAGTCACTATTTGACCTTGCCTATCATTAGAATTTAAGAATGATTTGTTCCTCTTAACTTCAGATACTTCTCAATTTATGATGGGTTTATGTCCTAATAAACTTTGTGATCCCATTGTAAGTTGAAAGCATTGAAGTTGAAAAGGCACTTAATACACTTAACCCACTGAACATTGTGGCTTAAGCTTAGCCTATACTTTGAGTAAACTCAGAACACTTACAATGGCCTATAGCTCGGCAAAATCATCCAAATACAAAGTCTATTTTATAATCAACTGTTTAGTATCTCATGTAACTTACTGAATAATATGAMAGTGAAAAGTAGAATGACTGTTCTGATCACTAACCTAGGAAAAGATCAACATTCAAAATTCAAAGTACGGTCTCTATTGAATGCAATTTCACACCATTGTGAACTCAAAATCAGAGGCTGACTCATCAAAAGTCACTTACTATTTGTGTATCAAATTAATTTATGAAGGAAAAAAAAAAAGCTCCTGCTATAATTGAATCTATTTTTTTTTTCCTTTGGTGCTGGGATTGATTCCAGGGCATTAAGCTACAGTTCCTCCTCTATAAATTGTAATTTCATGTTTTTAAGCAATTACATAAAATACTTCACAATCCAATTGGCTTATACAATTCAAAAAATTCTAASCACTGACTTTATTTAATATAGAAACCTGTCCAAGATTAGATTTGATTCACAAAGGTGAAAGAGTTCGAACTCCAATATTTTAATACTGATATTTTCTCTACTTCACAGTGACCAGACCTAAAATTTGCAAAAGATGTTCAAAACAAGGCAGACACAAACCCTGGCTGGCGATGGGCTCGGTGTTGGGCTTTTAGCCTTTTTGACCGGTACCGCTGGTGACCAGTTTGTTGAGGGTGACTGAGACTGGACAGGGGATGGAGGTGCTGGGGGCTTTTTAGCTGCTGGTTCAGGAGATCCAGAGACAGATCGGGAGGATGAGACCCTTCTTACGGACTGTGGGCTTGGTGAGGCGGCCCTACATGAGGAAGACAAAACAAAGGGCTTAGCACTGACAACAAACATCTAYTCCTAAGAGAAAATAATCAACTACAACATATAATCAGGTTAGATTACAAACATTTCGCAGCACTAGTTGTCTACTAGCACATCAAATTTACATAATCTAGGTCTCAAGCCCCACAATCCTCCCTCATTAACGATCCTTCCTATAGGAAATGAGCAATGCACATTCCTTAGAGTTAAGACTACCTTCACCCATATTATATGCACACAGAAGAAATGTTCTATGTATCTGAGCTTGCTTTTGGAAGCACACTGCTCAAACCCTCAATATATTAAGAACCAAACAAAATCCTATGGCATTTAATTTATACTGTAAGAAACTATCCTGAAATTAAAAAGGATTTGTGAATAGCACCAGTACCCAAAATATGCCTTAATAGTTTATATTCACAGCTTATTCCTTTCTATAACTTCTCGATTTGGGGGCTAGGGGGAGAATTTCCATATATACACAGCTATGCGACTAATTATTCCTAACCAAAAAGCACAGAATATTTTTACTTTTTTGTCTTTTTAGGTTCTGGAGTCCTGGAGACTCTCCTAATGGGCCTAGTACTTGGAGATGGGGACTGCCTTCTTTGGGGTGATGCTGATGCTCCTCGTCGAACAGGTGGAGGACTTGAGGATGTCTGAGGAGCTCGAGGCCGTGGCGAGGGAGAATGCCGTTTGTTTGGTTGTGGCGACCGAGCCTCCCGGGTAGAGCGGCTTGGGGAAGACCCTTTCCTATGCTTTGATGATAAAGAAGGCGAACGTCTCTTGGCGACTGGAGAGCTCCTCTGTTTGGGAGGAGGAGAATGGGAGACCCGGCGCTTTGGTGGTGGAGATGGAGATGCCCTTCGTTTAGGAGGAGGTGGAGGAGAGGCTGTTCTTCTCTTTGGGGGTGGAGAAGGAGAGTACCTCCTCTGTATTGGAGGAGAGTATCTTCTTGGGGAAGGTGAGCGCCGACGAGGGGGAGGAGAAGGAGTCCTAGGAGAAACATACATCATCAGTATAAGCTAAAACGTCCAACAGATCAGGAAATCAAATGCATGGGGCCAGAGTAACCAGAAGTTACTAGCACCCTATAGTTAGCAGTGGGCAGAAGTAGACATGCATGTCTGTAAACAAACACCCATCCTGGCCTTCCTCTGGATGCTTCACTACCATACAATCCTTATGTGCTTCTTAGGAATTACACTTGTAAGACTGAACACTGGGGAATTCTCATCCAAAATCAGATTTACAATTAGCCAGTTTGGGAGCAATGTGACAGAGCAGCACTTGGTATAGTAATTCTGACCTATTCCAYTTTCTCACCTAAAAAAGAATACCACTTACCAAGCAAGATTACCTTGAGGACTACAGGTAAGCTACATAAAGCATCTAACACTTTAACTGGAGCACATAACAGGTACTAAAGAGTGGTAGCCAGCCATTATACTGCCTGTTAGTGCTTGATATCAATAAACCATGTTTTCCCCCTCTAATTTTTATTTTAAGTGATTTTAAAGAGTCACAAAACAAGTGAAAACCTGCTACTATGTTAACAACTTATGGAACTATAAAAATTACCCAAACCATAGTACTACATCAACATTAACTTTATAGTAACTTAAGTATCAATATTCTCCGTGTTTACTACTAATACACATCCTTTTTCTGTTCCAYGATCCTAGATCTCYTTAGTTGCAACCAGTCTACAATGGTTCCTCAGTAATTCATGACTGACATAACTCTGGGGTGTGTTTGTGTGTTACAAGAAAGTGAACCCAGGGGCACTCTACCACTGAGCTACATCCTCAGCCTTTTTTTTTTTTTAATGTTTATTTTTCAGTTTTAGGTGGACACAATACCTTTATTTTTTTTTATTTTGTATGTGGTGCCGAGAATCGAACCCAGTGCCTCACACATGCTAGGCAAGCGTGCTACCACTTGAGCCACATCCCAATCCCAGCCTTTTTTATTTGTAAGTTGCTAAGGCTGCCCTTGAATTTGTAATCCTCCTGCCTTAGCCTTCCAACTTGCTGGGATCACAGGTGTGTGATACCACCCATGGCTGGTTACTTACTTTGTAGAATTGACCTTCAATTTGGGTTTGTATCACATTTCCTAATAAATTAGACTATGGTCTGGCATAACTGGTAAATAATATTACAGGTATATTTGGAAAGCACTTACTGCCAATATGTATTAGTGAGGATGCTTTGATTAAAGAGGCATCTGCTCAGATTCTATATTCTAAAGTTAGTATTGGTTTCAGTTTATTCATAAAGTTGTACCCTACCCCTTACACCCTGTTTTATTTATATATTTATTTTTTTAAGAGAGAGAG